GAAAACTGCCAAAATAAGGTCCCTGACAAAAGATGACAATATTATACCTTGCTAGGTGTTCTCATCCCAAATAAAGAAATATAATTCCACAGGTATAAGTTATAATATAAGTTATAGAGGTTGTGTGAAATCTTCTTTAATAGCAAGTCTTAAGTTAGGCAAGGCTTTTGGACAGGGACTGTTTAGCCATGTATTTAATTGCTGTGCTGAATCTGTGCTTCTATTTGACAGTTGAAATATTGTCATTGTTTTTAGAGCTCAATATAAAACTCTTGCATATAATAAAAACACATCCAGAATCCTTACTGGGGCTGCTAAATACTACTGCAACACATATGTTGAATAGTAAGAATAGATAATAATACATCAAGAGAGCATCCAGTAACAAAAGACCCATTAGAGTGCTAATTAAAATTAGACTTAAAAGTAAAATACAGCCGGCTTATCCATTATTTCCATTTGGAAATCTCAGCTACTTCACCTTAGAAGGTAAAATACTATTATCCATTTCAGCTGACTGGGAAACAGAACAAAAGGAAGATCATCAGATTATCCAAAATCACAAAGATGGTGAATAAGGAGCCCTCTCATTTCCCAACTCCCATTTCAATGAACAGTGCTATCCTCATCTGTCTCATTAATCATTATTTCCAGTTTAGAAGAACCAAAGCTCAGCTCTACAGAAGGAGGCTGGGCATGGCGAAAATAAATTCCCCATCTCTCCCACCTGCCATCTAACCTGCAATGTGGAGTTGGACGTTGCTGTGATTGAGACATTCATGGCCCCAAACTTCCCTTCTAAACTTGGACTAGGGGTTGACCTGAGTCTTTTAATAAAACTCCATCAGCGAGAACACTTAGTCTGGAGGGAAGGGTTCTCATCTCTGGCTGGATGGGGTGAAACTCGTGCCTTCTCTTTCTGAGGAGAAATGACCTAATCGCAAACTGATCATCTGTGCTGTTTGAGGAATCTTACTCTAGATGTCTCCCACTCAAGCTGTCCTATCCTGAAGTGACGAGCCGATTAGACAGTAAACCAGATGGTGCCTGACTTTACAGCCCTGTGGTGAGGACATGCCCTGGACAAGGGGCGTCCTGCGGTCTGCTTTTCTCTCTCTGTAACCATTTTGCTTTGAAGAGTCACTGCACAGAAGATGGACCCTACCCCACCATGGGTATTGTTCTCCACTGGACTGACATCACTTTGGAACACCAGGTGGGTGTAGTGACACCCTGTACCTGCTCTCGTTACTGAGGTGTCCTCATCAGCAACCTCACATGCCCACAGAGCAATAAGGATTTGGACTCAGGGAGTGCTTTTATGACTGCAATTTTAAAACCACGCACAACTCTATTGGTTTCCTTTATTTACACTCTGTTCTCATTATCTGGGCAAGTTACTGTACAGTTAAAGCCAAAAAAATAAACCAAGAAAGATAAGAAGCTGAAAGTTATGATCATCCATGTGCTCCTTTCATGGCAAGGCACATGTGAAGTAGGTGAGAGGACAAATAATAAGCACAACGAAAGCTGCAGTGGCAGCCTTGGTTTTAAATTTTCCGTAGATTGCAAATCTATGCCATACGTTGTTTTTATCTGAAATAGTATTTATGTAGAAATCAATGCTTAATTATGAGAAATGCGGTTTGTAATTATTATGGCAAGTTGTAATTTGCATATTTACCAGAAAGATGAGGAGAGCTGTTTGAAGTATCCTTAATGTTGTTAAATTTCAGAATATGCGTTATATAAGCACAGTTCCAAGGGCAATCAGTAGGAACAACTAGTTTTTGTAGGGGGATGTGTGTGTGTGTGTGTGTGCGTGTATGTATTTTTGTTTAGAGGCACGGTTAATTCCATAATGTATCCAAAATTTGTGTAACTTAGCACAGTAAAAATAGATATATTCTCTCACTCACTTCCTCTCATCCTCGGTGTTCACCTGGAAGACTATAAGAATACAAAACATAATTACATTAGTCCACCCAAGGGAAGCAGACACCTTCAGCAAATAATTTCTAACATTTCTTTCAAGTTATTTCAAGAGGAGAGTTTTGTACAATGAGAACCATTGTGACTAAATGCTGATTTTTCATAGACCCTGAGGGCTAAATTTATCTCTCGTTGAAGTCAATGGGAATCTTTCCATTGACGTAAATAACAGTTGGATCAGGTCTTAGTGCTTTCATCGGTGATCATTTTTTTACATGTAAAAACATTGATGAAGTTCAGAATGAACCTGTAACTGATCTCAAACAAAATCTGGTATGTTTTCACAAGGTAGAAAGAATGGGGAGAGGGAGATGAAGGGGAGGATCTGTGAAGACGGAGTTTTTCTTGCCGTTAAATGGATAGGACAGTAAAGACACCATAAAGGAGATATAACTTACACTTGCCTGAGGGAAATTAATATATCTGGCCTATCATTTTGCTTGTTCAGTGGAACCAGTGGGTTTATTTATGCAGTCTAGTTAAGATGTGATTCTTCTGTATGTGGGATCTCTTTTCCTTTTTGTTTATTATCTGGATATATCCAAAGAGATCAGAAATTTTAATTGCAGGTTATTGTGCTTGGCCAACTGCTATGCTGGTGTGCAAAGTCCATCTGATAAAAAAACCTTCAAAGGCTTCAGCAAAAGGGAACTAAAGATACACTTAACTGGGCCAGTGTCAGGACTGTCTCTAAGCTAGAGAGAAGGGATGTTTGTGTAACTTGCCCCTCCACCCCGCACTCCCAAAGCCCTGTGTATAATAATGACTGACAACCTTGTGGTTCACTAATTTAGTAAAGCTCTGCTAAAATTCATGGTAATTTTGGGCACTGGAATCTGGTCCTGAAATGTACATCTTGTTGTGTCCAGAGGTAATTTTGTTATCAGCGCCTCCATCTTAATAAGGGAGAAGCAAAAAGTAAAATGACAGGAAGCAAAAGAGAAAATTAAAATGACTCATTTAAGCTTAGGAAGCTTCTGGTCAGGAGCAGAAGGACCAATGGGAGAAAAATTGCTGGAAAAAAAGGAACAGAAAGGGGGATGATGAAATCCAGGGATACGGGGAGGGAAAAGAGAGAAGTGAGAAGAGAAGAAACAGGGAAGTGGCAAAATAAAAGGAGAAGCTGCTGTTTTAAGGAAAGGGGAAAGGTGGCTTTTACTGAAACAAAGCAAAAGACAGGACAGAATGGGATTTTAAATGGAGAGAATAAATGAATGGATTTAGAGGGATTGTGATGGGAAAGGCACTAAGAAAAGAAAAGTAAGCTGAGGAGAGAAAAGCAAGAAATAAATTAATTTCATCTTCAATGTTAAAGAATAAAAGAAGTTAAAATAGAGCACTTATTTTCCTCCACAAGACGTATAATTGTCTGCTTGAGTGGTATTAAATGTAGGACAGTAGCAGGGTTTGCCATACAGTCTCTGTGAGAGTCTATCCTCTAACCTGTGGTTTTTTTAACTCCCTTCTGGTTTTGGACCTTTTAATCTCATAGAGATCCAACCCTTCTAGAGTGAATTTTATCCTCACTACTGTAGGTTTGGTGTTTTTTAATTCACTTTTTGGGGAAACATTTGGAAGTAGCCCACAAACGCCCAAGGGGTCCCTAGACAACAGCTGGAAAGCCGTTGAATGGGTGGAGATGGCTGATGCTACTTCTACTGCAGATTGCTCCCATAGTTCAAGAAACAGCAACCTACACCCTGGAAAAACTAGTCCCAGTTTTCAACTCTGGTGTTAGTCCAGTCAGATGGGAAAATTATCTCAAAATTAGTTTATGTTTTGGGGAACAGGGGAGTCTTACCACATAGATTCAGACCTGAATGTACCACATAGCAAAATTCATCATGAAGGATAAGTCCTATCATAAAAATAGAGAATAATTTTTTAGGCAGAATCAGAAAATCTGATTCTGGGCTAATTTTACCACACGATAACTCTGAATTCAGGCAACCTCTTTCTCTTGCATGCGCTGTGCAGGGAAAAATTTGACCTGTCAGGGTTACAGTAATTTCAAAACTTAACACAACTAAAACCACAAAACACACATAGAGACAGGTTTTACTCAGGTTATCACTAGAAATTTCATTTATTTGTGTCTCATAATATTTTCACTAGACCAAATAGGTTTAATGGAAATGCATGACCATAAACCAATATAGGATCTGGATGGGACATGGGAGTTTTAACTGTGTTACTCTGACTGACATCCTGCAGTGGCATAAATGTTAAGACAGGAGAAAGCTACTGCTGTGAGGATGGGAGTCTGTTCCTCTGTATAACAATGTCTATAGCTCTGTTTAGCAAGGAGATAGCCATGTTTTAGTTTTAATCAAATATCTACTGTGTATGAAGTAGTGTCAAGGGATGTGGAGGCAGGATTTGGCCAGAAAAAGGTAAAGGAAAGAATTGTTCCCTCTACACTGGAGACTCCTGGAGGGCTGCAAGGACCACACCATGAGGTGGTATTCAGCCTAATTTCTCTGAATAGGGAGAAGAACCCAATACACATCAGTCTGGGTGATGACATGCTGTACCTGGCTTAAGGGAAAACAGAACTTATGCACATGAATGTCACCTCTGTTAAAAGAGTGCTGTTTCAGGGGAGCTGTTCCCTGCAGTTTATGACGAAAGAGAGAAATGAATTGGAAAAGGACTGATAAATGTTCAGAGGGAGGCAAATGAAAGATATTTTATGAGATGGAAAACTAAATTGGCAAGAACATCAGAGCATCTGGTGGCTGTACTAGGTTTTACTTTAACTTCCTGATAGTCTTAATTACTAGTTAATTTTTTTTTTTAACTCGAGTGTGATCTTGTGTCTTTACTGAGATCAATTTAGCTTTGGTTTTAAAAGGGAGCAGAATAAAACCTGTATGACACAGTGGAACTGGGTTTATTTTTCATTGTGGTTTCGTTTTCTTTTTTCACTGAAGAATTTCAAGCCAGGACATGTTTCAGTGGCCTAATCTCAAATGCGCACGGGAACAGTTTCTATGTTTGCTTTGCAGGGAGGAGCTGGCTTACTTCAAGAGAAGTTCAAGAATGAACACAACTGGTTTGCTGTCAGTTTTTAGTACTGGCTGCAGCTCATGGGCAATAATGGCACCAGCAGTGGTGAAGCAGCATTGTATAGCAAACAAGTAGACCTCAGTGACCCTCAACAACAGGATAACAACACTTGGATTTCCAAGGGACTTCTACCCACACTGAAGGAGGGAATTGCTTTTTTTCCCTTCTTCATTATTCTGCAACATTGCTCTGCTTATCTTGAAATACTCTAAATAAATACCCACTTCTGACACAGCTAGCTAAATAAGGACAGACAGTTGCTAAATCTCTGTCATAATTACAGCAGGCACCTGTTCATGGCCACTAAAACCGATGTTGCTAACACGTTTCCACAATAACTTCATGCTCAAAATTTTCCAACCAACTATCTTTTGGGAAGAAATTTTCCACATTTGGCCTCTGCTTGAGAGGACTTTTTTTTTTCTTCGAGGCTTGAGAAAAATGATGCCAGCTGTTCTTGAGCACAGCATGAATTATAAAGTTATGCCTCTGAAGTAAAAAGAACTTCCCAGGCTGCACCAAGCTGAAATATAAAGCTTGCTCTAGACCCTTCTGAAGAGCAAACTTTTTCTTAGTGTTATACTAGATGTTGATTTACCTAGATTAATAAAGATAAGACAATAAATATGTTTTTAAATAGCTGAGAATGATTTATCTGTAGGTGAGTGAAAAAGAAAAGCTTTCAGCTCAAACGAGCTGTAAATGGAGAACTGCCAGGTGGGTCAGAGGAGTTCACTCCTGCCCTCACCAAGTGCATTTCATTGTTTGAGGAGAACAGGGTGCGACTGCACCTTCCACAGGAGGGAAGCCAACGTCACTACTCCGGACTCCTTCCCCTCTCCACCAGATTATTTTTCTTTCAAAAGCAGGCAATTAAATATAAAATAGGAGTGTTAAATTTGCAAAATTGAGCATGCTGGCACTGGGGCATTTAAAAAGCTAAGTTTACTACTCCTGTCTGTGGCCAATATATACATGTATATATACATCCAGGCAATCAAATGGACATAGAGAGGAGATAGAGAGAGACTTTCAAACTAGTATTAGAACTCTATATCCTTGACAAAATGCTCAAAGTAATCAAAATGTCCCAGAATATACCACTTGAATCATATTACCTATTATGAAAACTGGTACACTGAACATTATAAAATTAATTAACAGATTGAAGCTCTTAATTGGGATATACATTTTATATATGAAGGTATACATTTTATATTGATTTATTTAGAATATCCTCAAGCATGGAATACCCTGGTTTTTCCATGCCAAATACAGAGACTTGAAGACTGTCTAAATAACAAGTTTGTATGTATTATATATGTATGTATATATATATGTCTCTCCTGGATATATGTTTTTTGTCTCTCCTGGATATATGTTTTTGGTTTTGTTTGTTTTTTTTTTTTTTTGACACATTTTCTAGCACTTTGGGGGCTGCTAAAAGTCAATTTCTGTCTTTTAACAAACCAGGGAAAACAAAAAAGAAGAACTAAACAAAACCCCCTTCACCACAGTCACAACCATATTTCTTTCTCTTCTATAGCAACTCCTTGTTTTTTCATGAAATCATAAGGAAATCGTGTGCTGGTGTGTTTTAAGAAAAATTAAAAAAAAAACACCTCAACAAAACAAACAAAACCCCCAAAGCATATTATTTTTAACTTTCTATAATTTCATTAAACGGGTCTTTCCTCCTCATGGTAAAAAGCCTTCTTCTTCATATGAAATGAACTTCTAGCTGTCATGTCAAGTAGCACGGAGCGCGGGGGGGGGGGGGGGATTGTAAGAACGGAGGGGGTGTTAAGCAGTTTTTTCCTGTAGAAAACGGTCACAGTTTTCACTCCTTTCGAAAACTACACAGTCGCCCCTTCTTTTTTCTTTTCCTTTATTTTTTTTCTTTTTCCTTTTTTTTTTTTTTGTCGTGACAAAGACTTTGATTTATTCTCAGAGGCAAAACGGCCCCGAGAAAGAAACTCCCGGAGCCTTAATTAAAAAAAGAAAGAAAGAAAGAAAGAAAAATAAATAGAAAAAGAAAACAAAAGAGGGGGTGGGCATGGAGGAGGGAAGGAGAACAGGGTCTGTTCGGGTGCCGATGATCTCCCTGGGAGAGCCGCGATGCCGCCCGGCGCGGCTCAGCGCGGCGGTCCCGCTCCGTGCCGTGCCGAGTCGTGCCGGCGGGGAAGCCTTGCATCACCGCCACGGGCTCCGCTTCCCTCCTCCCTCTCTTTCGGAGAGGCTATTAATAGCATGACATCAGCCAGGGACTCGCCGCCAGAGTAAATACCAGCGCTGCCCGCTCGGCTATATAAGGGGGGTGATGCAACCGAGGCGAGCGGCAGAGGAGCGGGGAGCGGAGCGAGCGGCTCTCCCGGAGGAGGCGGCGGAGAAGCGAGGACAGCCGCCGGGACGGCAGCGCGGCGAGGCGAGTGCGGAGCCTCTTCCCTCCGGCCGGGAAAGCGGCAGCAGCGGGAGGAAGGTAGGTAGAAGCGCGAAGGGAGCCGCCGAGACTCCCCGTGCCGGCGGGACGAGGGGCTGAGCTCCGTGGGAGCTTGTGCCGCCGCGGAGAGATGCCCGCCGGGGGGTCCGCGGGCCGCCGCCGGGAAAAGTTTCGCCGCCCCCGGCGAAGTCGGGCGCGGCGGTGCCGCCGCCCGCCGAGATCCCTGGGAAAGCCCTTGGCCCCGCCGAACCTCCCCCGGAGCCCGTCGCCCGCCCGCCGGTGGCGGCTCGCTCCTGGCGCCCACATCTGGGGGAACCCCCTGCCCGGGCTGCCGCCAGATGTGAGCACCGGGAGGAGCCCGCCGAGCCCCGGCTCATCCCGGGCCGGCACCGCCGCTCGGCACCGCGCGGTGGCGGCCTCGGCGGAGGGACGGCGCGGGCCCCGGGACCGGGATCGGGACGGGGATCGCCGGGATGCCGGAGCGCGGCGGGGGCGGCTGCCGTCGGCGGCACCGCGGGGACCGCGGGCACCGGGGCTGGGGAGCTGCCCCGGGACGGTCAAGGCGATGAGCAACCCCGCACTGCCGCGCGTAGGTTTATCTATGATATTCACATAAATCGAGGGGGAACTCCGTCTGCGAGCCGGGCACATTCGCTTTCCTTTCTGTCCCGGTCTTGACATGAAGTAGATCAGTTGCTAAACTGTTGCCTAACCAAATCAGGCGTGACACAACAGCAAACTTGTTTCAGAGAAGGAGTTTCCTCTTGGAAATCAATTTTCCTGCTAATAACAGCATTTGAGAAGCTGGAAGGCAGCAGAAAATGGTTCGAGAGCGATGTGGGATGTCAGAAAGCTTAAGGTCAACTAGCGTGCACAGAGGTTGTGAACTGTAATTGCTCTTAATGCTGTTTAAGATTAACCTCAGTGGTTATCAGGGTTTATTGCATCAGCACCAGAGGAAAAGGAATTCATATGAAGAAATAAACCCAAGAGGCACAGCCAACCATCTGCAGTTAAGCAAAAAAAGAAAAGACTGAAAGTAGTCAATTTTATTATTATTATTAAACAAGAATACCCTTAAATAGTAGAAATGCACAGCTAGGAAGTATGTCTCAATTTAAAAATATTGGCAGATGAGATGCAAAAGCCCACTGTAGATGGAAAGAATCATCAGCAGAAGAACAAACAAGTAGCAAAGGGAGAATGAATTAATAAAGTTGCTTGAATCTACCTGAATTGGGAGGGTACCATGCATAGAAAAACTGTTCTCTTTCGAGAATTCCAAAACTGAGGATAAAGTAATGAAGCATTAACTCACCGTGGGAACAGGTTGTACTCTTACAGTGCAGGTCTGCACTGCACAGTAATGTTCAGCACCTTCAATGTCAGTAACTTCAGGAGTACTGAAAGCAGCCTGGAGCACAGGTCCATGTGTTTGGTCTAACAAAGTAAACACAGCTTGTATCAGAAAGGCCACGATATAATCACATTTTAAGGCTTGATATTGTTATTCCTACTGGTTCCCCAGCCCTTACAAATCCAGAAAAAATGAGATAGTGCTCCTGATGGCTTATAGACAGAGGTACAATTTGTACTAAAATTGAGAAAAGGAAGGACAACTTGTTGCATTCTTTACAATAGTCAAATCTAATTTTTCTTCTTCTAAAACATTCCTAAAAGCAGATTGGTTCCTCAGAATCTGGAAAACATCTACCTTGCTGTTATGAAAAGGGAATCTATTCAGTTTACTGAAGAGTTTTGACAGAAGGCTGACTACTTCTGTTATTTGTGTCGTGGTGGCTCCTTGCAATCCCAGTGGTAGACTGGAAGCCTACCCTACCAAGTCCTGCCCTACGGAAGAGCCCCAGGAAAGCAAACCAGCAGCAAACAGCTCTGCAAAATGGGACTCAGCTCACAGCAGAAATCCTTTCACAAGCCTCAGCCCCCTGGTAGGCCTTCCCTTCCCTAAAGTCTGAGCAATTAGAGGTACCTTTCAGGATGTTTGGGAGGTCAGTGAGCTGTTTGGGCAGCAGAGCAGCAAGTTTCTACAGTCAAGGACATTTTCTCCTGCTCTGGGCACCCTACCACCCCTCTTTTTCACACTAGTAACTGATGGATGAGAGGGCCTGAAGCCATTATAGCAGGGTTTTGTTGGTGCTCATGGTACACTTAGCACTAACTAGTAGAAATCCACAATTAACACAATTTCTCAGGCACAAACATTCTTGGTTTCCTCTGGTGCTGCTGCTGACCTTAATTAAAAGTTCACCTAAACTGTAAAATAATTGAATAAACCACCAGAGCTCAAAAATTATTCACTCAACTAATTATTTTGTAGGCTGGAGAAACAGTTTTACTGTTAATTTAAGACTCCTGGTTGGATTAAATTATACATAATTAACTTCGTTGAATGAAGCCATCATCAGCATTCAAGGAGACAGATTCAGTGAAAATAGCTGAAATTTTTCCTAGCAGTGAGGGGTTCAGTGTCATCCAGAATTAGCCTGTTTAAATTAGCTGAATGGTTGAATGTTGGTAAATGGTAAATAATACTGTGAGGACTTCATCTGGAAATTATAGGGCCATTTCTGACTTGTTGGAAAAGCGCAACTGCTAGCCTTCTGAGATTATAGGATTAAATTGTATCACTACTTTAAATGTGACTCATGAGCAGGGGCTTTCTGAAGAGAATTACATAAATTTCCCAAGGTCTTTCTGAATAACAAATTTTTCCAAATAATTTCCCCATCTTTAATAACTGTGGGTGAAATCCTGGCTCCATTGAGGTCAACAGAAAAAGTTCTCTTGATTGCAGTGGAGTCAGGATTTCACCCCCAGACTCTGGGAAATGTTCAGCTCTTTTGTGGTGACTGGGTGAGGAAGAAATGAGGAAGATTGCAGCTGGACATGGCATTTTCTACCAACTGGCAATTCACTGTCCTCAGATTTTTATATTTACCTCACTTAACGATGAACCAGATTCTATTCTCATTTGCACCAGTGTGGATTTACAGTGTATTTTTAGATATCTCTGGGCAAAATCTATCTTCTTCACATGACCCCAAACATTTCTTGCTGTGTTGCTGAAGTAACGTACAGGGAACTGTGCAGTTCTGGGTTGACCATGTGGAAATTTAGCTTACCCACAGTGCTACCCCAAGGCAACTATTTGCTTACCTGAACTAAGTTAATTATAATTGACTTTGCTATAATTATTATAGTTCTAGACTGGAGTAGATAACACATACTGTAATTATCCATACAGCTATTAAAAACAAAAAAACCAAACCCCAACCAAAACCTACACACCAAAGAAAGCTGGAAAACCAACATAGTAAAATCCAATTTAACACAAGTTGCTTTATGAACAAGGAAACTACTAAAAACTGTTTTCCTATGGATTTGCAGCTTTTGTCCATTGAACCACCCATGAAAGGTGCTCAGTTTTCTTCCAGACCTCTTATCTCACCTCTGCTGGGTGAGAGATGGATTGTGACATGCAGAGATGTGTGCATCAGCTAGCCCACCGTGTTTGAATGACTGACTGCTGAGTTATGTCTCTTTCCCCCTCAGTGGGGTCACCAATTTTCACAAAGCACGTAGGGGACCTCTCTCCCTCCAAAACTGGCTAAAAAATAAGAGTGACTAAAAAGAGGAAAGTAGAGAGCACTCTTGGGTAAGTTTGTTTCTTAGGAAACCTACTAGAGTTGAGGTTTCTCCATGGGTTTACATTTGCATAATTCCCCCGAAGTCTCTTCAATCACACTGTTTTATATCAGCAAAAGATTCGGCCATAAATATTTAAGAATTTCAAGACTCCCATAGAGGGCACATGAGGACAGTTTCGAATTTTACAAGAGCAAAGGACTGAAACAAACTGTTTCACATTTTTCATGAGTCAATCCCTCCAACTCAGTCTGTGCTTTGGGGCTCCAGAGCATGTATAGACTCTTACTTCTGTGCCAGCTCTTATCATTAACCATTTTTCAGGAGTTTAGAGCCATATCTACAACTGTATGTAAGACTGAGTGTGATAATTTTGTGACAGATCATGTCGTGATTAGCAAACTTCAGCTCCTAGTAGAACTCGTTGAGCTTTACCTGAATGTAGCCAAGATAAAGGTATGCTCTGTCCATTTGAAGCTGGAATTTGTGGTGGTATAGCTCTGAGGATGAAGATACTCTTACTTTCTGTCTGTGCCTTAAATAATAATACTACTTTTTTGCTTTCTGATTTTTGTTCTTATTTTCTTTCTCTTCCTATTCACTCGATTATCATTTGCCACACATTACCAATTTAAAGCTTAACAGTATACATACTTACACAGTTTTTTTGAATATTAAGTTTCAGAAAGACCTAGAAATTGTCTCATGCTGATGTTGTTCTTACTTTTAAATACTAACTTTGAGTTAACTTGAAGTTTTCACTAGTGACCAAATACTTAACTGCTTGTCTCTAGTGAGAGATTGGGGTACATGGAGAAGGGGGACTGAAGCAATGTAAGAACTACAGTATTATTCACAGTATGAAATTTACCTCTAAGAGATATTTGCCTTTCTAAAGTTGTTGAAAGACTATTATTATTATCTCTTTTTATCTTTCAGCAAAATGATGGTCCAACACTCAGGCCAGGTATCTGCATTAGAAGTCAGCGCCTCCGCAATTGTTCCCACTTTGTCCCCTGCAGGGTCACTGGGGTTTGATGATTTCACAAATTTAACCCCACTGGTGAAAGAGGAACTGAGGTTTGCTATTCAGAATAAGCGTCAGTTCCACAGGATGTCTTCTTCATTGGACGCGGTGGCGGTTTCTGAAAGGCCAGTTGAAACAGCAATGATGAAAACAGAGGTATGGCTCTTTAAATAGAATTCCAGTGTGAATGATTAATTCTCTAGTGAAGTTTCACCACGAGACCAGTAGCTATAGACAACCCTCTCTGCCATACTTGATTCTTTCAAGCATGCTGCTTGGCTTTCTGTTAAATGCTTTGGGGAAAACCTTTGGTATTTCACATAGCTGGATATTTTATTTTTTATTATCATCTAAGGACAATGTTTTACAATGATTAGAACAAGTGCTAATTTAGTTTCCCTGCCTACTTGTGGCTGAACTTGGAATAAGTCACTGCTGAAGTTCTATTTCACTAAAGACAGTCCAGCAGGACCTACAGGGACTAGACTAAGTGGGACTAGCTGTTCTATGTCCACACTAGGTTTTTACTTTAAGATAATACTCTCACTGAAAAAGATTTCTCTTTAAAAGTGGATAAATAGCTTAAGTTAGGGAAACAGCTACAATTTGGTCTGAGCCTTCCCAGGAAACAAAACAAAACTTGAAGAAGTGTGTTAATATCTCCTTCTCGGTGCTGCCTTTAGTTTCACTCGCTCTCCCTGCCTCATTCATGACACATCCTCCACTCTGCTCCCCATGCTCCTTCCTCCTTTTCCTCTCCTGGAGGTGTGGGAGTCAGTCTGGGGAGACATTCAATGAGTTTTTTGAGTACTTTTGGTTTAAAATGAGCCATCATGTGGATTACATACATCCAAACTCCAGTCAGGTTTTAACTGAATTCTAATGAGATTACTACCCTTATACTGTATGGCAAACAAGGTCACAATCACACTGCTATGTAACTCTTAATGTAAACACTGACAACACTATCCATGTTGATTTTAAAATTGCAGAAGCTGTAGAAATAGAGGTTTCATATTTACAACATCTGATGGATTATGTGTATCCATTTTTGCTGGACAGTTTTCTCCTGAAGAGGATGAAAGAAAGAAGAGAAGAAGGGAAAGGAACAAAATTGCTGCGGCAAAGTGCCGAAACAAAAAGAAGGAAAAAACAGAATGTTTGCAAAAAGTAAGTGACTGGCTAGAATTTTTCTTAATCTGTCATCCTGCCAGGATCCAAACAGGTAGCATGGAGTTCTGTCATAGTAAGAAATACAGAAAGATGTCACCCAAAACTCTTTAAACCCTTCAAAACATTAGTTATAAAACATGAACATGCTATATATTAAAACAAAACCTGGTTAAAACTGGAAAAAAAAAGAAAGCATGGTAGGAGTGAAAAGAGTTTACTGTTTCAGTGACTAATCTTGTGTATGGGAATAATATTAATTTGAATGTGTACACTAAACACAAAAAGAAGTAAAATCTCATTTCATAAAACATTCACTATGGAGAGCCTGCAAACAACACCAAATAATTTCGGACTTACTTACGAAACGAGTGATATGGTAGCTGACTCCTGAGTTCTCTGTCCTAGGACCCCAATTTTGTCTTCACCTCCTGTGCAGTGATATACAACTTTATTACAACAACGTCGATCTGTACCTGGGTATAGAGGCCTCTATATTCCTATATCTAGGGCTAGGGAAAAAAGCTATGTTCTTACTTGCTTAGCTTACCATGGTTTTGCAGATATGTGACATGATGTTCAAGGGAATTAAGAAGCAGCGTAGATAATTTTGGGTCAATTTTTGACCCAAAAAGCTCAGAATAATTTTGCAGAAGATAGCGATAATGCTTTGGATATCTGTCCCTGTAAGTGAACAGAAGTCTGAATTTGACTTTCCAACTTCCATTACACTTTTCTAAAGGCCAAAAAAAGTAACTGTCAATGTTAGACTGTTACTGACTGAAGAATGTATAGTTTCATCATTACAGCACACTAAGAACATGAGATTTCTTTCTCTGCTAGCCATATGTTTTGCCACCAATAAAAGACCACAACTATTAGCTAAATATTGCAACTATTTGAACTACTCAGTGTAATAGTTGTGTCTGTCCTTTGTGACTAGGAATCAGAAAAGCTGGAAACTATCAATGCGGAATTAAAAGCCCAGATCGAAGAGCTGAAGAATGAGAAGCAGCATTTGATATACATGCTAAATCTTCACAGGCCTACTTGTATAGTTCGTGCACAAAACGGAAGGACACCTGAAGATGAAAGAAATCTTTTTATTCAACAGATCAAAGAAGGCACATTACAAGGTTAAGTGATATGGCAAACATGGAAATATTTATAGTGTTTTTAACAACTACCAGAATCCATGGAGGATCTGACATAATGTGTAGGATTCTATTAGTCAAGAGCCTTTAGGAAGGGCAGGTTGCTTTCTTAAGCGGAAAGAATCATTTTGGCTTGACAGCGATTCTTCCCCTTGGAAGATCTGGTCTCAATCAAATTGAAGAGCCTTCTGCCTCAAATATAGGTTTTTGCACCTGTCATACTTGCTATTCCTAGGAGCTACAGACAACAGCTTCAGAAGTTTTAGCTCTCTGCTAGTATACAGTATCTGCACTCACGACGTTTGTGCTAGAACACTATGACTTCCAGTGATGCACATGGGACAGACAGCTGTGCTGGATGGACACTACTTTTCCTTGTTGCTGATAGGGAAAGAAGACTGAGTATTTTTGAAGTTTCCAGGAGGATGGTTTCTGGCAGAATGTACTGATGCATAATGTTGCATTTTAACCTAACACATACACACACACACACACACAAAACCCCCCTTTAGTTCCAACTAAGCTTTGTCAGTTTTCTCACAACACTTGTGTGGGTTTTTTCTATGACTCATCTCAGTGACTGAAATTGAAGAGCCTTGTAGGTGTGACAAAGAAATGTTTCTTGCAAAACATCTATGTGACCTAGCTTGTATTTTATGAGTTATCACCTCACCTACTATCCTTTGGGGACTACAATTTTTCTTTGATGGCTAAAGAGCAGCTTGTACTATCATTTAGTGACTCGGTGAATTGAACCCACTGGAAAGAGGAAACTAACTGTCGAGGAGTATTGATAGAGGTTTTGCTGAAGTAAAGAACTGCAGGACTGAATCCCAGGCTTGTGAACCTTGAAAAGGTTGGGTTTTTTTTTTTTTAAATTTATCTAGAATCTAATCCTACAAGCCTTAATTCATACTATTAAGCCTCATTCACAAAAGAGGTTCCATGGATTTCAGAGCTCATGCAGATAGCTCTTACAGGCATAAGAGCTTGACAAAGCTTTTTCCATCCTGGCCAAGATTTCTTCCTTTTGCCAGGTGATTCAGAGGGAAAAATTATGATTGCAGCTACTTTTATTTTACATTTGAGTGGCAACTACAGTCAATCAAAAATGTTACTTAGAATCTAAAGGAGGCAGGAGTTTTGATGTAGTGAATGATTGTTTTTATTTTTTATTAAATACTAACCTTGGATGTTTTTGAACTGGTAGAAGAGCTGCTGGACAAAACAGTTGGAGTTATGAGTGTTTAAATTCTGATGTTTCTGTGAAATTCTCAGATTGTTTATTTCTATAAAATATATCCTTACAACTTTTTGTAAAAGAAAATATTATTCTTATTTATCACTAATATCTTAATGAGTAGAGTTAATAAATACTGCGAGCAAGAGAAAACTGAAAACACAAGTGTTGTGCTGTCTTTTTACCTTTGGTGTTTAATATTATATATTCCTAAACTTCATCAGTTGTATTTGAGACACTGCTACTTAGAACACTTATTCTTCATCTTTTTTGAAGATGAGGCACTGAGTATCTTGAATGATTGGGTGCAGACGTTATACCTTCCAAAATTCTGTATCTCCATCAGTGATGTCTAACCATTCGATGTCACAATTTAAACAAAGCAGAATACAAACGGAGCTTACTGTACATAATATTTTACACCAGTTATGCAGTGTTGAAATTGTGTGTTTGTTCTAAAGGCTAAACTTAAAGATACCTCAGCCATAAGGTTCTTACCCTGCAAATTTCTCATGAGTCTGTCACATATTGTACCTGATCCTTATATGATCATTATATTCTGCAACAGAACTTCTTAGTACCTTTTCCTAAGATCTGGATATATTGTAATGTCCTATATCACATTTTAAAGATATGTACTTCATGTATCTGAAAAGTGAATGTATTACAAAGATGACATACTAGGTCCAATTCTGTCCTAAGAATCCATTATCTTTCTGTGTATTGGAAGGAGGTTCCATTGACTTCCATTGACAAGTGAGAGTTTTATTCACATCCTGTAGGCAGAGTTTGGAAACTGTATGGCAACTTCTGTGGCTTAAAGGGTGAGTTCTATGTGTAATTGGGCCAGCTGTTTATCAGACAACAGGTATACATGAAGTGTGTTACAATAAACTTGTCAAACAATGTTCACTGTTATTTGACTTCTGTAATGTGGAAATACAAAACCAAGGCATCATCCCGGTATCGTACACCTTGGCTTTGTCTTTTGTGCATCAAATACCAGCAGACGAAACTGTCTCATGGTCGGTTATGAAGTGTTACCACAGAGACTAGAAAATAGTGACAGGATTCACGTGTCTCCCTTAGGGAATTTGTATGGTTGCTTTTAACCATATCACTGGTGACGCAGGCGTCACGCTTTTGTTGCTTGATCTTATTTACTCGGCATGCCAAATGTTGATATGGTACCACTACTATTGTCAGAAGATAATCTATTTTTATTTCTTTATATGTGCAGTCATAGCTGCTCTGTATTGCTTTTGTATGCGTGTGTGTGTGTGTGTGTGTGTGTGTGCGCGCGTGTGCTCCTGCACGCTGCTCTGGAAATGATGGTACTCAAGGACACTTGACTGTGCCCAGGAAAAGAGTGTTTAAAGAGCTAGACAGGAATGGTATGTTGCATGAGTTTTCTTAAGAGTGTACCTTATTCAGGAGAACCCTTAAAATGCATTAAAAGCAGTTTGTTTTCTATTCTCAAGTTTGTTTTGATACTTTAATAAAAAAGAATTAATATATATTTATTCATGTGTCATTTAATTTATTCTAAGTTTCGAGCTCCAGGAGCAACTTCATTTTCTTAAAACGACACCAAGATATTAAAAAGCAAGCACATTTTATATGTTTGCAACAATAAGTGTTTTGTGAAGTGATACTGGTACTGTTTGCTGCTTTTCAAGGTATAAACAAAATTTTGTTATTACAAGGCTGATCATGAATTCCAGGCTAATTCCTTATTTGTGGCCTAGGGCTTAGATTAAAGGACTGGAAATTGGAACTCCTAAACCTTTCCTAACCTTGCAACCAACCAGCTGACAGTTATTTCAACTTTATGATTACCTAATGAGTTTAATGCTTTTTCTGCTTTGAAGCTTTAATATTTATAGATTGCTTTCTCTGGTTACATGGAAGATACTAAAGTAGTACGGCATGATTAGGGCTTTGTTGTTTTTCCTCTGTGTCGGTGTGTGTGGGGAGAAACATGAGGAAAGATGAACAAAATGTTCTCTCCTGCTTTTCCAAAACTAAGTATCTACACACCCAGACAGAAGTCCCTGTGTTTTGACAGCCGGTGATGTGGACAAAAACTTTTGGCTTCAGTCTGTTGCAAGCAGTTATAACTTGTAATACAGAGGCCAGGAGCTCCAGGGACCAGGAAATCCATTGCACTATTGCAAAATCCAGCTAAAAATATCATCTGGAAGGAAGATCTAGGCTACTATGAGTTTGACAATGTTCAGTGCTTACTTTCCTTATTGATACATCCGTTTACAGATGTGCAGTCCTCATACGTATATTCACCTTTTCAGGCATTCTCCTAAAGCTGCTATCAAATTTTGCTTTTGAATACCCAGTTCACTTCTAAATTAGTAAATTTAAAAGTCATCTACCTGGCCTGTTTTAGAAAACCTCATCAACAAAATTAGGGCTATGAATTCCTGAACTGGTATTTTATGAAACCATGGAATCACCACTGATCTCTATGACATATTCCTAATAACATAATTGGTATTCCTTGAGCAAAGTAATACATCATGTCTTCTCCTTAGGTCTTGTTCTAGATGCTAAATCTGTGTGTGTACAGGCCCATGAGGATCTTGGGGCACGCTGGACTTTACCCTGTACCTTGATAAGGAGCACCTTCTACTCTTTTTCCAGCTTTTCCCCTGAGGTAAATGAATAAAAAGCAGTATTGAAGATTGGTAGAGACAATGATTTATACTAAGCTGAAAATGTTTAATGAAACTGAATGGAAACAAACTTAATTTACAATAACTTTTCTACCTGGAACCATTAGAATTTGAAGTTATTGATTAAAGGGATAGTTTTAAAAATCACTGATTCCTAGTTTTGCAAAAGAAACTGGATGATTTATGGGTAATGAAAAGAGTACAACTGTTTGCTAGTAGCAATGGAGTTTTGAAAACAAAATCTAATTCATGTTAAAAAATTCTCAAATCCAGAATGATCACTGTATCTCACATCCATTTTTCTTGGTGGTTTTGGTTTCCTTACCTCCTCCCCCTCAGCGGAGTACTGGTCTAGGTAGAAGTCTCATTCACCCTGGCCATTGCCAAATTTCAATATTTGCCCAGTGCCCCCAGCTGGAGACCCTGAGAATCACCTCGGGATTAAAATGTGTGATAATAATAATTTTTACCTAATTACTTAGTAACATTCTTCATCAGTTTGTAATTACACCAGTATAGTATTTTCATTTCTATAATAGATGCCATTCTTTTTTAAGTGTAGCTAAGATACTGAGTGACAATATTTTTTAAAAATTCTGTTATTTAAAATTCATTTCCTTAATGGACACTCTGAGTCAGAACTGTTGGCTCTAGAGATAAAAATAGTTATTTGCTAATTTTCAGTGCTATTAGGTCTTCAAAACCATTATGGTTTAAAAGAGAATACACTGGAATCTATCCTTGAGACAGCAGTAGTTCTGGCTGCATATCTTTACTACTGCTAACAGTGATGCATGAAACAAACAAAAAAACCCCAACTTAACGATTTTCAGACCCCAAACTAAGTGTACAAGAGCTGACACTCAGAAAAAGATTACTAGACTCGTGAAATGAATAAACAGAACATGTAAATAATCTGAGAGTTGAAGGTGGAATAACTTTCTTCTCCTTCTTTTTTGAGAATTTAGTATCATCGTATTTCTGGACTCTGTCAAAATAATTTGTGCACCACCATGCCCACTTAGTAGGAATGCCTACACAGCAAATAGCAGTGTGGAATAGCAGTATTTTTATTTAAGCTAGCTTGGTAGTGGGAACATCCCAGCGATGACAGCAAGAATCTCGGCACAGGCTAATTGATGCCACTGAGAGGACAAACTCTCCGTGCAGCCAGAGGACAGGCTGCTACTGGCATCTGAGGTAGCTCCTTTAAAGCCAACTTGGGTATCGTTCAGTTCCTCAGGTTAGGACATGTCACGTAGCTGCCTGCATTCCCTACTAAACAGCCCCACCAGTTCACACCAAAGGTCCACCCAGCCCAGTTTTCTCTCTACACCAGTGATCAAAAGCAGCTGTCCAAGGAAGAATAAGAACAGGGCAAGTACGCTTCCCTGGGTGCTTTCCCACACTCCAACTATTTTCAGCTAGTGAGTCACACAAGCTCGCCATGAATCTTTTAGGTAGTACCCTTCCATAAATCTTTCTGTCAAGTATTTGACCAGTTTCTCATCCACAGTACCAGCATCTGCACTAACTTTTGGTGGCAAGTTCCTTAGGACTGTCACCACTTAGAAGAAGAAAACCATTCCTTTTTTTTTTTTTACCCTATTCCCTGTTACTCGATTTGACAGACCCTCATTCCTGAATTGGAAGAGTGAACACTTACTCAACCTCTCCGTGCCACATGATTTTATACTTTGACGTGTTGTTTCTTTTTCAGGAGAAAGAACCCCATCATATCCAGTCACTTTTTTTTTTGTAGCCATTTTACATCCTTAATTATTCCTGTGAACTTTTTCTGTGAAAATCGTGGCTTATTAAGTAGTTTAAGATAAAGTGACCATAAGCAGACATAGTATTCAAGATGAGTTATAGCCACATATTAATACAGTGGGATCTGGACGTTCCCTGTCCCTTTCCCAATAACTCCAGAAATTAGGTTTGCTCTTTGGTGACTGCCAAGCGCGAAGCCTGACAGAATGTCACTATCTACCGTAATCCCAAAATCTCCTTCCTGAGTAGCAATGGTAAACACGAGCCCAACATTTTATATATGATGCCAGGATTGATATGCACTACCTTGTGTTTACTTGCATTGAATTTTATCTGCCATTTTAATTTCCAAACTGTAAATATAAACTCTTCCTGACAGTCTTCTGAAACTGCCTTTCTCCTGCCTATCCTTAGTAATTTTGTACCATCATCAACACTCTTGCTGCACTACTCGCCTTCTTACCAGATCATTTATGAAGATGTTGAGCTGTGCAGGTCCCAGTAAATGTTCCCATGGAATTCCAGTGAATGACCTACACCTGCTAGGAGAGTTCATCACTTACTCCTACTCTCTTTTCTACCCAAGTCTTTATGCATGTATATGCCTTTTCCCTATCCATAGCTATTCAGTTTCTTTAAAAAAATTTTGTTGAGGGAATTTACTGAAAACCCTTTGAGATGTCATAAAATGCATCTACTGAATCTCCCTGATCCATGTTTCTGTCAACCCTTTCCAAGAATGCCAGATGTGTCTATAAGTCTGAATTTAATTTTACAAAACCCATTCTAACTCTCTTTAGGTAAACCGTATTTATCTAGGTACCTATTCATTCATGGCTCCTTTATTTTAACTACCTTTTATCGACCTGTTCAGATTACAGGCCTATAGTTCCTTGGATTCTCCTGAAACATTTCATAAAGGTTGGTGACACATTTACCACACTCCAGCCCTCAGATACCAAGAAAGACTCAGTCAGTGACAGTTTTTTTGTTTGAACCTTTTGGTGAAAACTCAGTTGGTTAGTGCTGATTCTTCTCTAAACAGTCTCTTCAGTTTCAGACAGAACCTCTGCTTGTTTACTTCCCTTTGCCCTGTCCTGAAGAGCGTTCTGGCTGAGGAATGACATCTATTTTTTCAGCTTTTCAGGTCTCCGAGTGTTCCCTTTGTACCCTGATCATCAGTTGTCACTCGATTTTCTAACAGATTAATTATTACTAATACATCTGAAGGATTATTTAGTATTTATTTCAGTTTCTTTAGCCACTATTCCCTCTGCTTGCCTCTAACAGGCTTCTGCCCTCAGTGCCATCTCCTGAATTTTCCCTACAATAGGATCTTCATCATCCTCAATCATATTTGGAACTTTTAGAGTCTGTCAACTACTCCAAGATTTTCTGTGGCATCGGGGAGTCATTACATGGGAACACACCTAATTACCAGATT